ATACAAATCATTCATTTAACAGAAGAAAAATTTGTGTAATGTCATCTGTTGGAATATATTAAGTATTACACATGGACAGGATGTTCCCCATAAAATTAAGGGATTCCACACCACAGAGTACATGCAACTGTCAAATAGAAGTTATTGCTTTACCTGTAATCAGCCATACAACTTATCAGTTGACCGACCATGCCACTACAATTTAAAAAGTTTGTTGATAGATGAAAATGAAAATCATCATTTTGATGAAAAAAAATTGAATTGAAATGGATTTTCTTCATCAAAATTATGAAGTTAATTATTTTAACATAAAAACAAATTGAATAATTCCCAAAGATTAAAAGAAAATTATTATCTACTCCAGGAATAATAATAAAAATGTATTTATAATGGGTCCCATCAATGATTTCTACAGAAATCATCGGTCTTATGAAATGGTTCTCAAACAGACATGCATAATATAGATCTAAACATTTTTTTCTTTTCAGGAAGGAGTTATCACAAATATTTATTTTTGATAAAAAATTATAAAATTCAACACTCAAATTTGAATAAAAAATGTTTTTGGGTTGTTCTAAAAAATGAATAAGGTTTTTGAATCAAGATGGGAACAAATTCTTTGACCTAAACAAACCCCCCCCCCCCCTATTTTTTTACCCACACAAACCCAAAAGATGAATTGTGGGGTCCAAAAGAGATACAAGACACCTATTTTAGTAAAACAAATTTGACTGGCAGTTTTGCGAACGGCAAAAATCTAAATGCTGTTTGTCAATACCTTCGAATTATATTCCAAGTGAAAACAATTACTTAAATGTTTAATAAAAAAAAATCAAAATTAAACTACATGGGGGATTATTCAGGGTATTCCAACTTAGTTGCACCAAAAAGTCACGGACAAAAAGTCACAGGACAAAAAGTCACAATTCAGTTTTGAGATTATTTTTCTTTGAACAAGAAAAAACTAATTTAAAAAGAAATATTTTGGTTTTTTTCTTAAACTATTATTTATAAAGCAACTTTGTAATTAAAATTTATGCAATAAATATTAATAATGATCAAATAATTGCTATGAAAACAAAATGTCAAAGAGGCTTGATCCTTAAATGGCTTCATGGTGCCAAGAAATATATCCTTTGCACGATCAAATTTAATAAATTTTCATTTATCAAGGCTTATGAACAATTTCCTAAACTTAAAAATGAATATATGTAATAAAAAGAAAATATTTCAAGACCGTTCTCTTATATATTCAAACAATTGTCAACAAACTATTTGTGACTTTTTGTCCTATCAAATTTGTGACTTTATGTCCTGTCCCTTTTTGTCCTGTGACTTTCTGTCCGTTTACCCACATTTCATGTGAAATTTATACTGTTGAGATAGTGTCAAGACATATTTAAGACTGTCAAGAATGTGTCTGGACATATTCAGACATTATTTAGAATGTCAAGAATATGTCGAGACATATTCAGACATTATTAAGAATGTCAAGAATATGTCAAGACAGATCGAGACAAATTTAAGACAGTCAAGAATTGGTCGAGACTAATCCAGACTCTTATCAGATGATACAGGAAGTGTCGAGAAATTTTAAGGCAATGTTCATATTGTCAAGACACTTGTCAAGAAAAATCAAGAACCTTATTAGACAAATTCATACTATGTCAAGAATTTAAAAAAATTATTCAGACAAATTAAGAATGTCGAGTAAAAATTCATGCAAATTCAGACAAAAACTGGTCTTTTCAGACTTTTTGACTTTTGTAGTGCAGTGTAGGTAAATCCATCATCCCTATTTCATTATCAACATTTTGATAAATTAACACTGATTTAGAACAATAATTTTTGTCAAGCCTGTGACTTATCTCCGTTTTTCGGTATTTTACTTATAAATGGACTTAGTTTTTCTGCCAGGAAACATTACATTCACTCTGTGGTTAAAGTTTTTAAAATTTTAATAACTTTCTTAAACTATCCTGGATTTCTATCATACTTGGACAGAAGCTTGTTTATGATCATAAGCAAGTATGTAGAAGGAAATTTTGTAAAAATTAATTTCATGTTTTTCTATATATTACTTATAAATGGACTTAGTTTTTCTTCCAGTTAACATTACATACAGCTCTGCAGTTAAAGTTTTTTAAAACATTTATTAGATTCATAAACCATCCTGGATTTTTACCAAACTTGGATAGAAGCTTCTTACAATCAAAAGATAGTATCTAGAGGAAAATTTTGAATAATTTTTGCCCATTTTTGTCGAAACAATAGTGTCTTTAATCTATTTATCAGAACTTTTTTGTTAAGTTGATCATGAGGGGCTTCAAATATAATCAATGATTTTTTCTTAATTTTGTAGATGTTTAAATAAAACTTTCTTTTCCTGTTCATCGTTAAAAGTTAAACAGAAATATAAAATGATTGCGAAGTGCAAACTTCAAAACTTATTTTTTTTTATAAAAGTTGTAAAAACAACTCATTTAAGCAACATGTAAAGCCATTTGTCCTCACAATTTTATTAAACAATACCATTAAGACCTTGTATTGATTAGGTTATTGCCAATAGCTATAAAATGCAATCAGCTTATTGATTTTCTGTCAAGATTGAAATTTTGAAAATAAGGAAAAGTCTGAGAGGGCAGAAAAAAAATAAACAAGATGGACGATGTCAAACGGCTATTATTCTTTCGCCAAAAACTTTTGACAATAATACTTTTTTTCATGTTTCACCACAATTTTTTACTTTTTGGCAAAATGCCAAATGGCGGCTGCCAGCGGAAAACCTGCTCATATGAGTATGGTACATGTTTACCATGTGAAGCATTTTAGATTTGTTGCTCATCAACCATGTATGAACTTTAAGTCACATTCCTTTCAGTAACTACATGTATATGTATCAGAACACCTTAAAGGGTCATTAGCTGTCAAATTCATGATCAAGGTGAATCAGACACCGAATTGACTTAAATTCTCATATTTGATTCATAACATACTAAAACATAAATCAAATTACAAAAAGTCCAAAAGAAACAATTAACAATGCATGGACATTATAATCTATCAGCATTTCATGCATATATTTAGACTAAACACCATCTAATTAACCATTGAGATTACTTCCAAAGACTGCCTATAGTTATTTGACCCGATGTAAAGATAAAAAACATAGAATACCGTAAAGCACTGGAGTTGCGTAATTAAGATTTATCATGGTCTGATTTTAATAATGTTGTATATATTTTATAAAATGAAAATCATGGTCTTACCTGTATAGTATAATACATATATAGTTGATTTCTTGTGGGTCAAATCGGTCAAAGAAATGGGTTTTTTTTTTTGTTATAATGGCTCCCTTGTTTCATTTTTCAATGTTGACAGTCTTTTCTTTTGATAACTGAACAACAAGCTTATGGCATGCATAACCCATCTTCAGCTAAAGTTCAAATTAGGGTTACATGAATATTAATCTTAAGTTAGGTTGAATTATTGGCTTACAAACCAATAATACATTTGTGATTTTATTGATCTTATTTTGACCAAATTGAACCAAACTGACTGCTAATAGCCAAATATTATTTCAATATTCCGCTTTTATAAACAAAAAGAATCGTATTTCAATTTTTTGTCTAAATTGCAGCTAATACCCTTTTAATGCATTTTCTAATTCAATGCTCATCTACTCAAGAATCCCAAGGTTGCTGGACATTTGGCAAAGACCAGTATAATTGGTTTGGTCCAGTTAAGTGATATGCATTACTGGACCAAATGACTAAATCATATGTGTGAATGTCCTGTAAAAAAGAGTCTGCAGGTCCAGTTAAGAAGAATGCTTTACTGGACTAAATGTCCAGTTGATTTCTCAAAGACTTGGGAACCACTGTAGACCTCATCCTGCTTACCCATTGCTTATAGTGGGGTATTATCATGATTATGAGTGAGCAAGTGCTAACAGTTCAAATTGTTTTTGCAGGATGAGAAAGGAGTAAAAGAGGTTATGTGCCTTGCAGTACAAGTTTTACATTCCTTGTCTTGTCTACCACTGATTTAATTGATTTTGCTGCAGTTAAAAAATGATATTTGCAAACTAAACACTTATAGTTTTGTGTGTCAAATATTTGCTAATGTACAAAAAAGAGGTATACCGGGTAAAAGTAAAAAATTACAAGAAAACTAAAAATGTGTGTACTGTAAATTCAGAAATTATTGCAAGGTTTTTTTAATGCGAATATGAGTCTAGTATCGCTAAATAAGAACTCGCATTCTGATATCTGATACATATGTCTGTATATAGATTTTCCTGAAATCTCAAAAATTAAACTCGCATTTTTGTCCATTCTTCAACAATCGCAATAATAAATACATGCAAAAATTTCTGAATTTACAGTATTTATGACTGATATAACATATACTCAACAACAAAAGTAATGCACCAACTCCATTAATTTCTTTGGACTAAAAATTTGAATAGCATATTACTCTTTTAAAATTAATTGAAATGTGACAAAATTTTGACACAATGTTTCTGAAGTAAATACACCAAATTCTATGAAAATGAGAATTTTTCTTTCATTTTAATTTTTGGCATCTAAAAAAAATAAAGAAACAAGAAAACAAAATTTTGGCCAAATTTGAGAAAACTAAAATCTGTGTACCCTTACACCTGAAAACAAAGAAAATGGCTACGATTTTTAGTTTCGTAATCAATTTCTTTTCTTATTAATAATGACCAATTTGAAATTCACTTCACCAAACTTATGATTTTGACTTGAAATCTCTATTATTACCATGAAGATTGTAGATATAAACTCAGTATTAATTTCAATGTTATGCTTAACATAAACTAGATTTTTACAAATTTGTTTCAAAAATAAGAATTTGCGATACTGCTATAGATATGATAAGATGTGGTGCATTATTCAGGTTGTTAATTATATATATACTCAACAAATTATGTAGAAACACTAGACTTCATACAATGATATTTTTTCTTCTTCTAGGATGTGATTCAACAGTAGTTTAAATCATAATAAAAATACAAACAAACATGGAGACAGATGTGAATTCGGATAACACAACCTTGTCCAACAGTGCCATTCAAAATGTCTTATCCAATCCAGAAGTCCTCCAACAGCTGATGATGACACAGGCTGGTTGTCCTTCATCAGAGATACAAGGAATTAAAATCGGAGACAGAATATTGCCAGTAAGAGTATGTGACCGTGATGGTCAAAAGATCATGCAGATAGTATTACCTGAGTCGCCAAAGAAGGACTCATTTAAAGAAGAACCACAGATACTAGATGATAGTACAGTTAATTTAGAAATGCCAAACTCTGCCAGTGATTCTAGTAATCAGATAATGCAGACAATTGATACTTATATGGAAAATATGAATTTTAGTAACCCGTCATTGCAGGCTCTGCCAATGCAAACTGAATCAGTGCAGGAAAGTGGCATGGAATTTATTCAAAACACGCAAGGATTTGAAGGGATGCTTCCATCTGCATCAGGTTTTAATAATCAAAATTATTACAACACGTCAGGTTCGATTATTACTGAAGGACACATGTACACAGATATTAATGATAGTAAAATTGATCCTGAGCTGCTGAACTCCTTTCATAACTCTTTAGCACCATCTAGTGAGAGTGCATTTATTGCAGAAGGTCAGTCAGTAGATTGTCTACAAAGTCAGAATATAGGTCCAACTGGAGAAGGGCAGACAACTGAGTATCTTCCCACTCGTGATATTGTAGCTACTGCCTTTGAAGAATCAGGTCTACTTCAAGCTACAGCTAACGTTATAAATGCTGTTAAAACTCATTACCAAGAGGAGAAACCTAAAAAGAGAAGAAAAATATTTGAAAGAGAAACACAACCTTTGATTGTATCGAAAAATGCAAAGTCATCAAAGGTTTTGTATGCATGCAATTATGGCAACTGCCAACGTAAATTCACCAATAAAGTTGGTTTAGATATACATTTATACACACACACAGGTTTAAAGCCAGTTACATGTAAATTGTGTGAAAAATCATTCCTGAATAGTAAACTGTTTGATAAGCACAAATGTAAATACAGCCGACCGCTTCAAGAAATGAAAGGTATGCGTTTTGAATGCGATATCTGCCAGAAGAGTTTCGGAAACATTGGTACTTTGTTTGTACATAAGCGAGGACACAAAGGTAGCAAACCGTACACTTGCGGCCTTTGTTCAAAAACTTTCACACTAAAACCATCCATGTACAAACATGTGAAATCTCACGGGTCTGATGTCCGATATAAATGTCAGACTTGTGAAGAAATGTTTAGATCCCCTTGGCATCTGGAAGAGCATCTCATGTCACATTTGAATGAGAAAAAAGTGTACAATTGTTCACAATGCACTAAAGTCTACACAAATTATCCCAACTATTGGAGACATGTGAAATCACATTCCATTAAAGGTAAAACGCGGGAAAGAGATATGCTAAAATCAAAGATCTTAACATCACCGGAAAACATTGGTGGAGAAGGTCTGAAATGTAATGTCTGTTTGAAGTCATTCACTTCGGTTCTTGGATTTCAACAGCATATACAACTTCATGGTCCAAAAAGATTTCAGTGTACTGAATGCAAGAAACGGTTTGTTTCCAGGGATTATTTGCAAAATCACCTTCAGTGGTACATTGCTAAATTTGCTCTCGGCCAGACTGTCTCGGGACATATGAAAGTTATTGAAAAGTACAAGGAAAGTAATGATTTGGACATTGATGATTTTCTAGAAGTGATAGAAAGTGATGAGGATGTAAACTCCGACAATGAAGGAGATCCATTAGGAGAAGAGACATCTAAAACATACCTATGTGACATGTGTGGAAATTACTTTTTCACAGAAAGGGCTCTGACAAGGCATATCAAGTTCCATAATAATATTCCATACAAATGCAGCTACTGTGACAAGAAGTTTAGCTTCCGTGCAAACTTAATGAGGCATGAACTTACACATACAGATACTAAAGAATATGAATGCAACCTCTGTGACAAAACATTTACCCAGAAATCTAGATTAGAAGATCATATCAAATCTCATTCGGCAATCCGTCCATATCCCTGTAATCTTTGTAATAAGAAGTTTAGTAGGATCTCTAATCTACGAAGACACAAGCAGCTTCATTCTGTTGAGAAAAAGTATGAATGTCCAGAATGCAAGCGAAGGTTTGTCTGTCCACGATACTTAAAAGAGCACGTTATAAATGTTCATACTTCAATGGGAAGGAGGAAACGGGAATGTCCAATCTGCAAAGTTTTATTAAGTGGGAATTCTAACTTGAACCGTCACCTTAATTTACATTATGGAACCTCAGATCAAAACAAGAAATTAGAATGTGAAATTTGTCACAAGCGGTTCGAATTTAATAGTGACATGGAAATACATATGAGATCGCATACTGGTGAAAAACCTTTCTATTGCGAAACATGTTCCAAAAGTTTCATGTCAATGTCAAACCTTCGTCGTCACCAGACTACACATGTTGAATCAAAATCTCACGTTTGTGAAATATGTGGAAAAGCTTTCAAAATAGAGCGATACCTGATAGATCATAGAAAGATACACACCAATCCCGTCAAAGTGACATGTGAAATTTGTAATATGAGTTTTTCATCAAATACAAATATGAAACGGCACAAACTTATACACAGTGGAGAGAAACCTTTCATTTGTACTATCTGTAACAAAGCATTTCGTAGCAAGCCAGATGTGGAACGACATCGGGCAATTCATTTCAAAGAGAAATCTGAACAGTGCCATATCTGTTCAAAAAAATTCAAACATAAAGAACTGTTGAGGAGACATTTAGGCAAACATGAACGTGGCATTCCGACTTGTGATGTCTGTGGAAAACAGTTTCCGACAAACTACAAGCTACATCGTCATCAGCAGACCCATCAGGACAATTTCATATGCAATGTTTGTGAAACTACATTTAAAACAAGCCTCCAGTTACAAAAACATGTTGAAACACATGACATCGTAGAAATGAGAAAACTTCTGTTGAATATGGGATCAATGAAGAGTACTGGAAACAGTCCGGTAAAAGATTCTAAACCATCAACAAAAATGAAACATACAGGAACTATCAAAACTGAACCAAATGCAGCAAATAGTAAGAAGAAATTAAATGTTCAACCTGTTTCCATGACCAACTTGCCATTACTAGCTTCCAACACAGCTGGTACCCCAATAATAACTGTCTCACAGAATCTAATCTCAGGATCCTTAACTAATGTCATCAGTATCAAAGATATTAGCCAGATAAATATGAATTAAATATCAGTCTTGTTTCACTAATAATTCAGATCATCTAAAGTGTGTAAAATTTGATTATCAAGAAAAAGAGTCAATTATTATTTCATCTAATAAAGTTATTGTAAAATTAGAAATTTTTGCAATGTGTCTGTCATTGTAAAAATTGTGGCAGTATAGATTTTCACAAAAATGATAATTCATAATTTTTTATAGCACTATTTGTATTTTCTGAGATTGCATTAATTAATCTCCTATTTTTGACCATTTTTCAATAATCACAATTATAAATTCAAGAAAAAAACAAAAAACTTAAGCAGAAGTAAATCAAATAAAGCATAAAATTTGTCAAATGTCTGAATAGCAGTTGAATAATTGTGTGCAATGTTAAGGATTTGTATGTTTAAAGTTTTAAACTTGTTTTTTTTTTCATGACGGTCTAAATTTAGAAATGAACACTAAATCGGAAAAAGAAAATGAATGAATTTTCCCAGGCTTTCAAACAGTGTATTATTTATAGTCCCTAAAAAACATGAAAAACATTGTTTTTAAATGTTTTATAATATAGCTTCTAAATCATGACATCCCAAATGTTTTGTACATTCAGTAAACAGCTTTCAAAATTATCATGTATCAAGTTCTATCATGGGAATGTACTGGCAAGATAAACACCTATTTTATAATCACAGCAAGCCATATATGCTATAGATATTGAATGTGGTATCATAATTTTTCCTCAAAACTTTTTTGGACTGACAGGATATAGTAAAACGGTGTTATTTTTTCCGATGAGAAAGGAGAAAATTCCAAATACATTTTAATTATCATCATACAATGTACAATTATTTTTTAAATATCAACTTGATTTTGTATATCCAGTTTTAATGATTTTAGTTTGTCAAATGTTTCATCTCCTTCTTGCAGATAAACATTTCATGAATGAATATATATATCGCAGGGTTTTTCACTTTTTTGGTCTTTTGAAAAATGTTGTTTGTGCTGTATTTAGACCCCTCTACCAAGAAATTTGTTTTGCATGCACACGTATATAAATTGCGGTTTTTATCCAACGCAATCATAGGTTTGAACATTGTTTTCAATTTAGACTTGTTCATGTATATTATATATATGCATATTTTACTGGTCAAGTCAACTTCGTATATGATTTGATGTTCCAATGGGTAAATATTTTCCTTCCTGCTAAAAATACAAACGTATTCACATATCAAACTTTTAATTTATAATTTGTATGGAAATAATATACAACAGCCAAAATTTAATTTCAAGGTTTCCAGTTTCCTAATAAGTAAAACTTTGAACAACTTTATGCATAACGTTTTCATCTAATTTTTTACATTTTTAATGTCAATTTTAAGAGTCCTCTTTTTTTTTTTTTAGTACATATGCATGTTTTTGTTTGGATGAAGATCTACATGTACATGTATTTGTTGTATTTAAAATAATTGTTCATCCATAGGATATGCGTAATATGGAACTGGTCTTCATTTGAATCTAAAGTGATCATGGTAATAACAGGTTATTTAGAATTTGTTAATACATGTATGTGACTGTATAGAATGGCGAGTAAAGTGCTTAATGAATTTCCCGTGATCAGGCCTGGTGTAATCAAATAGTTAATTTGAGAAAAACAGATTGTTTTTTAAGATGCATTTATACCATTTTTCATATCATTGATCACATCTTTTGTTGAAGATGATACATTGAAATTTACTAACATCTACAGTTGTATGTCTTTTAGCTATATATAGGTCTCCTAAATAGTGGAAATTTATAATACAAATGTAAATACAAACAACAGTGAACCAACACCTGGTAAATCTTCAATACGATAGAATCTCTTAATTGGATACCTCGGGTATGGGGGTTGGTACGATTAAAATAAACAAAATGTGAAAGCAGAGCTATAACAACAACATTTTAGGGATTGCTGCAGTAATTTAATGAGATTGACATGTTTCTTTTTTAAATTTGGAAATCCAGAATAAACATTATGCAAACAAAGAATCATGATAAATCTATTTTTTTTTTTTGTATCTTATCAAACACATTGCTAACTATTACTGAATATATTTCACCTGCTTTGTATGACATATATATATATATACTATGTAATTCATGTAATTCAGGAAGTCTAACCGTGTCATACATGTATGTAACATTTTGTAGTATATATATTACATATATTGTTATAATTATATTCTAACACCACTAACAACTCCAATATTATTCCAGAAATTAAAAAAATATATATATATATATCAGTTCAAAACATTTTAGAAATTAATAGGATTATATAGAGGATTTATTGTTCAGCCTGCAATATTCACTAAAACAAGACATAATGGATTATTATCAGGCAGGGACATCATTAGCTATTTGTATGAACCTTTCCATTCCAGTAGGAAAAAGATTCTTGTATACAGATGCCTTATGTTCTGAAGATCTCTTCTGGCATGTATCTGTTCTCTTTGACTTTGTTTTCATGTTTCTATGACCACATATAAAACAGTTTAGGTTTTCTTATCGCTGTTTTTTTTTCCTTAGTTATTTTTCATAATTAAGGTCATCTATTTTTGGTAAATTATATTGCAAGGTTCATGTTCATTAGACAGGGTTCATCTTATATTAACCTAATTTTTATGTTACAGTGATCAACATTAAGTTTTTTGTGATAGATCAATTGGTAAGTAATAGGTCTACTATATTTAGGCTATAGAATGGTTGGATAGTGTACATGTTCATCTGACATGGTTCATATGACCTTTGACCTCATTTTCTTAGTTCAGTGGTTAGAATTAAGTTTTGGTATTAAGGTCAATATCTCAGATACCATAACTGACGTCAACTTTATTTTGTGTTGAGAACGATAGTAAGGTGTTCATGTCCATCTGTCAGGGTTCATCTGACCTTGATGTCATTTTCATGGTTCAGTGGTCTATGTTATGTTGTGAAATTTTTTCTCAGATATAAGGTCAGTCTTAGCCATATAGAATGATTGTGAAGTGTACTTTTGTCTGGCAAGGTTCATCTGAACTTGACCTCATTTTTGCAGGGTTATTTTGTCATCATTAAGTTTTCATAATTAGGTAAGTTTCTTAGATAAAATGATTATCAGTCAACTGTTATTGCTGTAAAGGATAATTGTTAGTTTACATTTCTGTGTGACCAAGTTCTTCTGACCTTTACTGCATTTCATGAATCTTCACATTGTTCTTGTGATACCAGTAGTAATAATCAGGAAAGCAGGCAAGACATGTCCGTATGTACACTGTTGTTAAACAACAGTTTCCAGTTGCACAGCTAATTATTGTACATCTTTTTTTAATAAGCATTAAACATACACTGTAGCATACATGTAATAATGTATAGGTTCATCTGTCTTTTTCTGAAATTTTTGAAGTCAGAACTAGTCAAGTGTATCAAGAATCTGAAATCTGGTGAAAGTTTGAAAATTGATAGCGTTTTTAGAAATGATACTGTAAAACTTATGTAAGTTTAAATATTGTTATACATGTGACGTGTTACATCATTCGAAGAAGATGTGTTTTAAAGGAATTGTTTAACAAATTATACAAACTGTCAATTATTGTCATTATCTGGGATTGTTTAACAAATTATACAAACTGTCAATTATTGTCATTATCTGGAGATATGTTATTCAACTGTTCTTGTTTATGTTGCTGTTATATAAAAAATATATTTTGTTTTTGGTTAATCCCTTGTCATTGTGTGCTATTGCCTTGAAAAATCTCTCAAAACTCCTGTACTGTTAAGTAACTTTACTGGCAAACTAGGTAGGAATGGCACTATTATGCCATGCCTATGATCTTAGGGGGTTTATTGTTTCTGGTTTTTGTGTCCATTCATCTGTTAGTTCATTTGTCTATCAAGTATCAGGTAAAATATTTGGTTTAAGGTAGATTACCACAAAGTCATGAAAAGTCCCAGAATGTAAGACATGGGGATAACAAAGTCTACATGTTCGTCAGACAGTGTTTTCCTGACCTCAACCTCATTGCATGGATCAGTGATCAAGGTGAAAGCTACATGAGTAGGTCTGTTCTTCAGATACTATAAGCAGTAGGTCAACTATATGTGGAATGATTGTAAATGTGAACATGTCAGTCAGCAGGTTTCATCTGATTTTAACCGCATTTTCGTGGTTCATGTTAAGTTTTTGTGTTTGTATAACAATAAGAAGATGTGGTATGATTGCCAATGAGACAATTCTCCATCAGACTCCAAATGACTTAGAAGTTTGCAACTATGGGTTACCATGTGCGCTTCAACAATGAGCAAAAAGCATACTGCATAGCTAGCTATAAAAGGCCCTAAAATGATAAATATAAACAATTCAAACAAGAAAACTATCTGCCTGTCTGATGTATGTACAAAACAAAAAACAAATATGATATACAACAAATGACAACCACTGAATTACAGGCTCCTGACTTGGGACAGGCACAAACAGAATGTGGAGGGTTAAACATGTTAGTAGGAGCCCAACCCTCCTCTTCAAATACTATAAGCAATAGGTCAACAATATTTGGTTTATGAAATGACTGTAAGGTATACATGTCTGTCTGGCAAGTATCATCTGTCCTTGACCTCATTTTCATGGTTCATTGGTCAACATGAAGTTTTCTAGTCTAGTCTGTTTCTTGGATACTATAAGCAATAGGTCAACTATGTTTGATGCATGTAATGATTGTTAGATGTATGTTTGTCTGTCATGTATTATCTAACCTTGACCTCATTTTCATAGTTCATTGGTCTGTGTGAAGTTTGCATAGTTTGGTCATCTTCTCATGACCTCATTTTCAGTTTATCTCAGTCCTTTAACAACATCTCACATCTTGTTGCCCATGACACAGTATAACCTTGGAACAAAGATCTTAATATTAAATAGAAGGTCAAAATAAAACAAAGAGAATTCCATTATCTGGTCATTATCAAGTGGGGGAAATTTCATATAGACAGAAGTTCAACAGTTACAAGAAAACCAAAAAAAAATCTGAAATAAAGGATACCACAAATTCAGTTATAGTCATCATTTACATCTAGAAATGGACAATCAGGGTCAGTTTAGAACTAGACTTTATGACAAGAGATAATTTCAATCATCCTAATGACTGTGAACTTGCTAATTCTCTGTAGCAACATTTCATCAGTACCTGCATATTATGGGGAATATTTATATGTCCAAAGTTCACACAATATACCAGGGTTTGTGTTTCCCATCATAGTTTCCTACTTACAAGGAAGCTTTTCAACCAAGAATTCCAAATGATGAAGTTTAAATCATCCTTTTAAAAAAATTTCAATTATCATCCTAGTTCCATGCCCATTCAGAATGTTGTCAAATCCTTGTAAGCAAAGCATGGACACAGGATGTGTATTTTAATCAGATTGATGATGAGTGTCACTGGTCACCCTTCCAGGACACTTGAGTTCACCAAAAGTTTTCAGTAGAGCATGTATACTCGTCCAGAGGCAAGTATGTATAATCCTCCAGAGGCAAATATGTTTAAATGTCCCGAGTCAAATTTGTATAATCGTCCAGAGGCAAATAGGTATAATCATCCAGAGGCAAATATGTTTAATCATCCTGAGGCAAATATGTTTAATCGTCCCGAGTCAAATGTGTATAATCGCCCAGAGGCAGATATGGTAATGGTACTGAGGCAAATATGTTTTATCGTCCAGAGGCAAATACGTTTTATCGTCCAGAGGCAAATATGTTATATCGTCCAGAGGCAAATATGTTTAATAGTCCTGAGGCGAACATGTTTAATTGTCCCGAGTCAAATATGTATAATCGTCCAAAGAAAATATGTTAATCATCCTGAGGCAAATATGTTTAATCATCCTGAGTCAAATATGTATAATAGCCCAGAGGCAAATATGTTAATCGTCCAGAGGCAAATATGTTTAATCATCCTGAGTCAAATATGTATAATCGTCCTGAGGCAAATATGTATAATCGTCCAGAGGCAAATATGTTTAATCATCCTGAGTCAAATATGTATAATGGTCCAGAGGCAAATATGTATAATCGTCCAGAGGCAAATATGTATATCGTCCAGAGGCAAATATGTTTAATCGTCTAAAGGCAAATATGTATAATCATCCAGAGGCAAATATGTATATCGTCCAGAAGCAAATATGTTTAATTGTCCAGAGGCAAATATGTAGAATGGTCCTGAGGCAAATATGTTAATCATCCTGAGGCAAATATGTTTCATCATCATGAGGTAAAAATGTTTAATTGTCATGAGGCAAATATGTATAATCATAATAAGATTATATATACAACTAACTGACATGAAATTGTGTGAATGTTGTAAAGAAAGTGGTGTTAACTCTAACAAACATTCATACTATCTGTCTGAATAAATCTAAAATGCTCTCACAACTATAAAGTAAACAATGGTGAAATAATTTTATTTCAAAAGAACTTTAAGGAACTGATAAAATACATTGTATCAATACATTAAAAAAAAAATTGGTCAACATGCTTAAACTTCTAAGTATTGAAAAAAAACAACAACATAACAGAATAAGACAAAACAAATATAATATCTTAATAAGGAGGTAGAGCTGCGTAAAGGAGATAACACTGAATCAGTTATGTGTTTTTCATCAATAATGTTAAAGTACTTAAGGTTACAACATACTAAATAAAGCTACATAAGCGCAGCCAATCGTGAAGGGAACATGACGAAGAGGTAAAAATAGCTGCCTATCTGTGATTGGTTGTTATATCATTTATATAAATTATTTTTCTCCTGGAAAGCATTATGAATAAAGTTTCATGCAAGCACAAATTTGTCCTTAAATGTAAAGTGATTAAGGGCTGGAGTTTTTTTTTTATTTTGATCAAAATTATTGGAAATTTTCAGCAAAATCATTAGGTATGGTACAAAACCAAAAAATACACCAAGAAAACCATGGCACCATATATATTTAAGTGCAGTAAAATCACAAATACATATTCCGCTCATATTAGACAACAGCAGTTTTTCCATAAATAATTTATTAAAAACGCCATTTAAGGAAATAACTGCTAAAACTAGCATTGCGGGCAATGGGGCAAACATTTAGTACTTAGCATTCTTAAGCTATACAAAAGTAAAGTTATCTGTGTTACCTAGAAGCTTGGAATATATTTATGAAAGAGATAGCCAAAAACACACCTAGTGATTTTTACGAGTTATGTCCCTTATGTATCTACCTCTTAAATGAGCATTGTGCATACACCACTGAAAAGTTACTATCCAATTTATATGAAATAACTAAAATGAAGGTAGTTTCTATTTGTAAATCATTGTTTTGTAATGACAACAGGTTGATTTATTCATAGAATGTATTTGCTTAATGTTCAGTTGCAAGTATTTCATGTCTATTCATGATGAACCAAATGTTGATCATCTGCTTAAGAATAACTGACAATAGAAACATATTCATTCTCACTGCATACATGTATATACCTTTATAGTGTGTATTCATTCTCACTGCATACATGTATATACCTTAGTGTGTATCTTTAAAAAGGGAAGTTAAATTAGGCAATAAAATCAGTCCTGTAAACCAACTAATTTTAAAATAAATGGTCAAACTCTTGTAAAAACAAATGTAAAATAGAAGATGTGGTATGATTGCCAAATGAGACAACTCTCCATAAGAGACCAAATGACACAGAAAATAACAACTATAGGTCACCGTACTGCCTTCAACAATGAGCAAAGCCCATACCGCACAGTCAGCTATAAAAGGCCCCGAAATGACAATGTAAAACAATTCAAAAGAGAATGTGTAGGGGACATAAAAAGAGATTTATTGATGTTCAGTCGCAAATATTTCATTAATATTCAGTACCAGAAAAAATTAACATTTATACAATAATTAGATTATGCAAGGTAGGGATAGGCCAGGAAATTTGCCAAGGTAACCCATCAACACAAATAACCAAAGGATAACTTGAGGTTCAAATTTTAGCTTTTTATATTTATTTAAGGCTTATCATGCTTATAAACAAGTAAAATTAAATTGTACAAGTACACACTTGAAATTTTCAGCTGTACATTAGATTGGAAACAATATGTTGAAAGTACCAGTACAATATTCTCTACAATCTTGAAGTAAATTTTTAAATGTGACATTGTGACTGAAGGAGGTAACCTACTGGTGCCCCAATTAAATACCTAGAGTGGAAAATAAGATACTTATCAAGTATACGAAAAATTATTAAATCAAAGTATTCATGTATGAAAAGGGAGAAAACCAAAAAAGTTCTAAACTATAATGTATAATATGGCCACATGCAAAATACAGATGAAATTCACTAAACAATGTCAAATAATCAATTTTGTAATCAAGAAAAAAACAATCCCACATATAATTCATTTCTATAATTTTATACAAAATGTGGACACATAAAAATGTCTTGCCTCTTTATCCTAGGCATATTTGCATGTAATTTATTTTGATTACCTTGAAATTAGGTAACATTAGGTAAAATATATGAATAAAGAAAATCAAATAAAAATGAACTGATTAAAAATGACAGAACCTCATCACTGTCAAGAAAGAAATCTATGAGCATGCTCAGACCATCCTTGTGACAGAAGTTTATCTGTTTATTAAATTCACTATCAGTATATACTCTGGGCTGTTTATAGCTATTTTACAAAGTGTGGTATCTTGTCCATGATTGAAGGGCTTATGGTGGTCCCTCTAGATTTTATATTTTGTGTTGCTCCTTCATTGAAGTTTGCTCTAAATATCTTGTGTCAATCTCTAATATATAAATACTGTAAATTCAGAAATTATTGTGTGAATTTATTATTGAACAATGGACACAAACCTGAGATTAATTACTGTGGATTCATTTATTTTCGTGGGTACCAATTTTCGTGGATTAAGGAAAACTTACATGTTCGTGGATACTTAATTTCGTGGTTTTGCCGAAGTCTGCATACAAGCCTAATGGAAATTTGTCATTCATTGAACATTTAATTTCGTGGTTCACCTATACCCAAGAAATCCACGAAAATTGGTATTCAACGAATAATAATGAATCCACAGTATTGCAGTTTCAGAAAATTAGGCATACAAATAATTCTATCAAAATTTTAAATGCGAGTTTTATTTTTCAAAACCTACCACATCATAATTTTAGCCATTTTATAACATTAAAACAATTAGCAGTAGTACACAATTTAAATATATAATTCCCTTTACAATGAAAATGCTTGTTATATGCTTAAAGGCTGTTTAAAATTTCAAGAAATTCAGGAATTTTGATTTTTAATTGAAATCGTAGTTTTTTAAAACATGTTAATTACATCGAAATGCTGAAATAAAAATAAAATTCCAACAATTTTGAATATAGAAATATACACTGATTTTAATATAATCTCACAAAGATATAAAAATACATAAAATAAAACGTAAAAAGAAATATACCTATATACAAATAACATAATATACTATACCAAAATGACTGTGGCTAAACAATATATTTGATGTAAAAAAAAAATTATTTGGAATGACTAGAAAAATGGAATGTATTAATTACACTGGTTTAAAAAATACAAAGGTAATGGCACAAGATAGAAATATTTGATATGACCTTTACATTTTCAGGGTCATATCTGGAACCATAAGATTTTTTTTTTTGTTGCCTGAACTAGATACTAAAAGAAGGTTTTTTTTTTTTTACATATATTTAAACAATTAAATGTAAATTAATTAATAACAAATAATACCTGTCATGCTTTTTTCATTGTTCAGACTTTAAATTCTTATTTACAAATCACCTAAGGAAAGTTAAAAGAGCTATAACTGCTTGATTTATATATATTTCACATGTAATATTGATTCAACGTTCCCTTTTCCTTTCCAGACTCATAACAAAACAATAACAGACTTTAGGATAAAATGTTTGGTCCATTCTAACTTATATAAAGTTATCATGCTTGTATACATATATGTATTGAAATTCTTAATGAACAAACTATAAAGAAAATTAAAAAAAAATCTATATGGAATGTAGTGATTTGTCTCCCCTTGACCATTTAAATAATTGCACTCATAATCATCATGATCATGACCATCAAGTTTTTAAATAAACAAAAAAAATCTCTTAAAATACCTTGGCAAATAACATGAATAAAGAGGACTAGATTAGCAATAATTTCAGTTTCTGTAACATCTTATTTAAACTGCTGCATTGATATTTTGTAACATTTTGCTATTACAATACTGTAAGTTATCTCCTTTTTATCAAAAACAAATAATTTTCAACTGTCATGATAAATTTTCAAATAAAAGATGTACTTTAAATTTAAACTTTTGAACCATTTCTTCAACTTTCTCAATCACTTATAGTGTTTTCTGCTTCCATAAGATAACTTCTACCATGTAAAATTCTCATTTTAATCTTTCTTTCTGAATTGTTTTCCTCTTCATTAACATCAATAATATCTTTTTTACTTCTTTTTCTCTTCCTTCCCTTTTCGTGCGTCACTAAGTGTCGCTTTAAGTTCCATAAGTTGATTGCTTTATAATGACATTTGTCACACGGGAAAGGCCTCTCACCAGTGTGGATTCTTGTGTGAACCATCAACTCTTTACCACCTTTAAATCTTTTTCCACAAACTTCACACTTTAGGATCTTTTTTTGAACGGATTCTCCAGTATGGAGATCCATATGACGTTGAAGACTTGTTTTTTTCGTAAATTTGGCATGGCAAATGAGACATTCTTCTTTTTCCTGTCCATTATGCATATAGGTAATGTGATGCATAAGATATCGATGATATTTAAACATTCGATTACAGAAAGGACATACATGAGATTCGTTGAGGTTTTCATCGTGCAATGAAATATGTCTTAATAAATTTGTTTTGTTAGATAAAGACTTTTTACAAATGGTACACCCCCATTGTCCAGTTTCATTGTTGTACATCATTTTATCTTTGTATTTTTCCAAATTACTCTGCTGTTTTTTAGACTCTTTGTGGCCTTTAAGATGTGAATACAGCTTGGACTGAGAATCAAAGCTGGTGTTACAGTGTGCACAAATAAATTCGGCATCAGAATTAATTTCATTTGGCTTAGAATTATGACTTGTGTCTATGTGATCTATGTATTCCTTCAGAGAATCACAAATTTTTCCACATCTTTGACAAGTCATTTCAATTCTAGGTTTGTTTATGTTTGTTTTCCCTGATTTGTTTTCTTGATTCACTGTTTTGTTTCTAATTTTGTTTTCCTCTGAAATCTTTTCTGGTTTTGGAGTTTCCTTTCCAGTTGTGACTTCCTTTAATTTCTTAACCTTTCCTGATCTAGTCATGTTCTCAATCAGTTTCTTTTCCTGTTTTTGTGTTTCATTCCAGATTCTGATCTCTACTTTGTTCTCTTCTGGTTCTTTTGGTTTTTCTGTAATGGGGTCTTCCACAGATTTCTTTTCTGTTTTCAGTTTCCTCGATTCTTGCAAATGATTGTGACACAACAGTATATGTTTCTTCAGTACCATGTCTGTCTTAAAAATTCCGTTACAATCTTGACATTTGAAATTTTCAGATTTTTTTGGTTTTGGTTTACAATTCTTTATGTGAGCAATGATATGATGTTGTTTTACAAAACTTTTCTGACATTTTGCACAATGATAAATAATTTGCTTTTCACCAGATTTCTTCAAGCCATGAGTAATGCTTTTTAACTTTCCTGTAGAAATAGAGTAAATAAATTTATCAATGACCCTGTCAAACTCATTATCCTCCTTCAATTGATTGATGAATGGTTTATGTTCTATGTCAACTCTGTTAATCGCCATTTCAAAATACATGTTCAAATGTTCTTTGACAAAATGTCGGCTAGCAAACTTCTTATTACAACATCTGCATATAAATATGGTTTTAACCTTTTCCTTGGCTTTAGTCCCGTCATCTCTTACAGCTAATTCATCTGACATGGCAGATTTGAAATGATTTACCAGTGTTTTGCTCATTCCATCATCTCTTACATCTAATTCATCTGACTTGGCGAATTTGAAATGATTTACCAGTGGCTTGTTCATTCCATTATCTCTTACAGCTAATTCATCTGACTTGGCAGATTGGAAATGATTTACCAGTGGCTTGCTCATTCCATCATCTCTTACAGCTAATTCATCCAACTTGTCAGCTTCAAATTGATTTTCCGCTATCTGATTCATACCCTCAGCTAATTCATCTGACCTGGCAGGGTTAAATTGTTTTTCCACTGTATCAATATTGTTTAAAAGGGAAGGCTGCTTGTTTCTATCGCACATTTTATTTTTTTTACTACCAACATCATTTGGTTTTTTGTATTTTCTATTAGTTCCTAATATAACATATTCTGTATTCAGTTTAACAAGTTTCCTGCTGGTTTGTTTTGTTTGTACTGCATCCCTGTCAGAAATATTCTTCCTGGTTCCCTGTATGTGTGATGAGTCTTCAGAAACTGGCTTTATCTTATTGAATCCTTGATTTTCAGGTGAAGTAGGTCTTTCTTGAGAAATTCTGTCATTTGCTTCCTGCTCTATTGTACTGTTTTTATCAAGGTATGAAGGTTGGTGTGTGTTAACATGGTGAATAAAGGAAGGAACAGCAGTGAATGATTTTCCACATAAAACACAATTAAAATCTAAGTTCTTTAAACTAGGTTCATCTGAAATTGAGGACACTGAAGTTGAGCTAGAGTATTCATCAGAGTCCTGCATATGAAAAGTGGTTGCTTCTTTTTCATCTGAATGGCTATCAAATGAATTGTCACTGATAACATAAGATTCTTTTTCTATCCATAGATCTTGAGAACTATCATTTGAACAGCCATCCTCATTTTTTGTAAAGTCTGTGGAGTTAATGATTTTGTTATTAAAAGTTTTGTCTACATCAATGTCATGGGAACTATTGTCTGAAGAAAAACCACTCTGCTGATGTATTGGTACCTCATGTAGTGCTGCATTGTCAGATTTCTGTGTAAATAAATTCAACTGTCTCTTTTCTCTATGACTTTCAATGTGTTCCTCGAGACTTTCCTGATTTCTAAATTTTTTTGAACAAGTAGTGCACTTGAAAAATTTGTTTTTTCTTGACTCTGACATGGCATTTTGTCTGTTCTGAAAAGAATTCTTTCCTTTATAAATTATGCCAATATTTTCCATCATATGAGACATTGCATGTTTCAACATTACTGACTTAAACGTAAATGATTTACGGCAAACATGACAAACATACTTCTTTCCAGTATCATGTGATCTTAGATGTATTGTAAGTGTGCATTGCTGATGAAATAGTTTACCACATTTGTCACAAGAAAACTTTTTGATTGGTAGTAGATTCATTGTGTGAATATGATTTGACCATGTGACCAGGAAAATTTTCTGAGGTTGTCCTGAAAGTTTATCTCATTCAACGAGAGCAATGGTCATTGCTTATGCCATATATATATCTTTTCATTCCTTGGAGAAATTTTCATCCATCTTCTTCATCATTTAAACAGCAATATCTGAAGGAAAAAAAATAACTCAATTTTAATTTTTAGAAGGCAAACATCAAAAGAAATATATATATATGTCATATCATGTTATCAAAGTTATTTATATATATATATATATATGAATAAAACAGTAATTCAACAAGACAATATAACTAATTGTTAATGATTATTTCATCACAATCAAGAGTAGTTGCAACTGGATCCTTTGTTTTGGGTTAAAAAAATCCTGAATTTTATACACTTAGATACTGAAGAACACTAAAAGGATTGTTGTAAGAGTTGATGCTTAGGGCTTTATGGTCAAGTTGATCTACATTTAAAGAGAATGGTTAACAACCCAAAAACATGTTCCAAAAGATGAAAAAGTTTAGGACTTCTCCATGGGATGTTTAGGAGGGTTTGAAGGTACTCCATATTAATAAGAATGGGTGATTGGTTCAGTACAACGTCAAACACTAAAATACACTCTTATTAAAAAATTAAATGGGTGGTGGCACGAGTGGGTCTTGAAAAAAGTGCCATCCATTACCTTCTCATCCTCATTACATTTTTTCAGTATAAATAGCCCTTAACCTACATTTTATGAATAGAAAAAAAATGATGGTAAGCTCTCAGATGCAGTATTAACTTGTTGGCCTATCTATTGTTTAAGACCATGGGTTGACCTCTAGATATCTTTAGTTTTTTCTGTCATTGGGTTGACCTCTAGATATCTTTAGTTTTTTCTGTCATTGGGTTGACCTCTAGATATCTTTAGTTTTTTCTGTCATTGGGTTGACCTCTAGATATCTTTAGTTTTTTCTGTCATTGGGTTGACCTCTAGATATCTTTAGTTTTTTCTGTCATTGGGTTGACCTCTAGATATCTTTAGTTTTTTCTGTCATTGGGTTTCGTCTCATTGACTTATACCCAGTATTTATTTTTATTGTTTACTATACAGTATGGTTTTTGCTCATTGTTAAAGACCATGACCTATATTTAATAACATCCACATCCTTTGATCTCTGGTGGATAGATGTCTCATTTTCATAGTGATGATTCAAGCACCTTCCAACTGATTTTTATAGTTTGTTCTTATGTTGTGTTGTTACACCACTGTCCCAGGTTAGATGGAGGGTTGGAAACACACAAACATGTTAAACCATGCCACTTTCTTCATGTGTCTGCCTGTAATCCAGGACCTGTAATCCAGTGGTTGTACTTGGCCACTGCCTGCCATACTTGTTTTTGTTTTTATTTGTTGTAACATAAAACAGTTTGTTAGTTTACTCTTTTGAATTGTTACACAATTAATCTTACCAGTGCCTTTTATAGATTATAATATAGTAATGGTTTTGCTTAGAATTGTTCACATCTTTGTCTTTTGGTACATGCATGTATTTATGGATAGTTGTCTCATCGGCATTCATATCACAGTTCCCTTTATCTATATTAAATGGTGTTTTCAAACTCAGTGCTTAATGAAAGAAATGCTTGATCCACTGCTGAGTTTAATGAAAATCCATGAACATATTTGTATTAAAAGTAAAAATTACACACAGTATTATTTTTTTTTTACCTTTTATGTACACTATTTTTGGTCCTTCCTCTTTTTCTCCATATATAATAAATTTCTCTTTTATTCCTAAAAAATAGGTTTTTTATAAGAATTAGTGGTAAAATGGAATTCAGATATCAATGAGACAGCAACATCACAAAAAGAGAAAGGACATCATTATCAACATGCGGTCATTATCAATCTTTTTAAGGTCATAAAATTTGTTTGTTCAATATTCATGATATATTCAACACAAATGTTTAAACTTACATCTTTCTATTTGTATTTTCCATTGTAACCACTTTGTATAATTTACATGTTGCTTAGTCTCTTCATTTTAAAAGTTGCCTAATATTTGTTGTGACTGTCAAGACTCTTTTAGTTCGTCATGTTTGATGCAGTAAGTTCTTCCATTTTTAATTTCACACCACACATTTTCCTTGACTATCATCCAAATTCAATCCATGTTTTGAGGTTCAATCTGCTCAATTTTTAGATTTTGTTCACATCTAAACGTTTCTATTTCTCATCAGACATGTCAGATCATTTTCCCTTTTTGTCTTGTGTGCCCTTTTTTTTAATGCATAGTGTAAAAGGTGTTTAATTTCACCTTTTACAATCTTGCAAATCATAAATATTCAATCTGAATCTCTTATTATTATATATAAATATATACTGTAAATTCAGAAATTATTGCGTGCATTTATTATTGCGATTTTCTCATTTTAGACTAAAATGCGATTTTGATTTTTGCGATATTGAGAAAAATCATGTTTAATTCATATAAAAAATTTCAAAATGCGAGTTCAAATTATTGCGATTATAACCCTGTCGCATTTTTCGCAATAATAAAAACATCGCAATAATTTCTGAATTTACAGTATATAATATATGTCAAAACAGTGTACAACACAAAACAATTTAATAAAAAAAATATATAGATGAAATAATAAATTCTCAATTCAATAAACATTTTGGATAAAAAATATCCTTCATCAGTACATGTATGAGCAGCCTGATGTAAAATGGTGTCACTATAGCTATGCTAGTTTTAGAAAAACTTGAACATCATCATAATTATACAAATTAAACACTGAACATTGTTTATATAAAAGTTAAGTTTTCCATAATGATCCGACACCTTGGTAAGAATGATTGTTGACTATTATCTAGATGTATATATATATTTTCATAAAATCCAGGTTCAAATTGTTCATCTTTTGGATACCTTAACATGATAAGGGCTTTTCAAGAAAAAATATTAGGACAGAAGGGGTTGGAAACACTTTTTTCAAGACCTATTCATACAACTTTTTATACATGTATTGGGAAATCTGTTTAGCACTGTATCACACATGTTTAAATGACTTCTGATCAATCCCAGCCATAAATGTAAATATATGTCTTTTTTATACTGAAAGCAAATTACTGAAAATGTTACAAAAAATGCAGTTGTTAGCAGAAAAAATGTGCATTCACTATGAAATGATAATGAAAAGCTGATAGTTACTGTTAGAGTAACAACTCTCACCTGAAATACTTCAAAAACAAACAAATTTCATCTACAGCTAACAAAATACATCTTCCTTCTACTGTTCACCAAATGTATTGACATGTTACTTCACATGTTCACCTAAAGTTCTTCTAACCTTTTATGACCATGATGACCTACAATGTCAACATATCATTTAAATATGTATCCTCAAAAATATTCCTCTGGTTATTAAATATCAATAAAACTGAAAATAGCTTGCAGTTATAAATATTCATGTACCAGAAACCTTTCAAAATATATATTAATTGTATTGCATATATAATTAAAAAAGATTATTCAATTTAAGACATCAAATGACAATTTGCTTGAAACCATTTATAAATTTATATAGATAAAACAGAACTTCAAAACAAAACATGTAAGTTATCAGAATTATGAAGATAAATAAATAGTATAATTATAAATGCTCATCTGTGTCATTATTGCTAAATGTAATTAGTGACATATTTTTCACCTCTATACAAGCAATCATGACAATTAGCTCCAGGTAAAGTACAAATGTATATCGACATGACTCATCTGATTGTTAACTTTAGCATCATATGGACAGGGCCTGATTATGACAACACAGCCATCTGGCATTGCTAAGGATTATCAGCCAATGTCAGTACTGAAATTCAAATTTAACATAATTCCCAAAAGGAACTGCAAGGGTTTAAATTTGCTTTCAGTAATGAAAGGTCAAGGACCAGTTAAATTATCTAGTGAAAGGTCCTCCTTTAATAAGAAGGTCAACAGTACTGTATAAAGGATCAGTGTAAATGTGAAATACTTAAAAAAAATGAAAATTCCCGTCACAGAAAACAGGCGCGGATCCAATATTTGATGTTAATGGGACACTCCTGAAAATCAGGATACAGCACCTTTTTTGAAACAAAATTGGCCGTAATTAAAACTTTATTAGTTTTTTTGTTCTGTTTTTTTGTTGTTTTTTTTTGTGGGGTGGGGGGGGGGTTTAAATGAAGAAAAAACATAATTATTTGTTTTGAAAAAAATAGGGTAAAAATTAATTTAATATTGAGTTTAAAAAAAAAATATCCTGTTATCACTAGAATAAAAAAAAAACTTCTTTTTTTAAAAGTGAATGTTTGCATGAAGACCCCCTTCCCCTTAAAAATTAATCAGATCCAAGTTCCAACTGAAACATTTTGGCCAATGCCAATGGTCTTCCAGCTGACTATTTTGAATTGATGCAATTAAAATTCAATAGTTTTCTTTCAGTGTTTAGGTAAATATATAAGCTCTGATTTCAACCCTGGCTTACAGTAATCTCAGGTAATAATCAATAATTTATTTATTTTTTACACTTCCACGTTTTAGACCATGCCGTTTTTAGAGACGGTCTGATGGCTTTCAGGTTTTGTCACGACAAACACTCATTCATTAAATTCAATGACTATGTATTTAAAAAATACTACTCCCTATAGATGAAGAAGGGCCTGTATTTGTGTGACACAGATACTTGTGTAAGAAGTATATCCAATTTGACGAGAGATTGTTCAAATCAAAAGCGAGAATTGATGCAGTTCAGGCTGTCGCATACCTGTACGTTTCAGCTTGAACTTCATAATCTGAAAATGTGTACGAGAGACCAATGTACATTTGTGTTCATTATGAGCATTTTTATGATAGAGTTTTGTTTTCTGACAGATAAATAACAGTTTACAGATGTTACACTTACAACTCTTTTCTTCTTTGGCGTTCAGTGACGGAACCTTGGGGCGATTCTAATTGCTTGTTCCGGTCGGGAACAGATTTAAAGTTTTGGCGCGGTATAATTCAAACACTTTATTTGATCCCCGATTGTCCTACCTACATTTCCACGCTTCATATTTGCTCTATGATTTCCAGCAGCTGATTTTACTTTATATTTTGGCAGTGAGTTTCAAAGTCATGCTGACTCTTTAACTATATGTCCGACAGAGTTCTTAGCACACTTCGTATGTTTTCCTGAGTACCGTTTCACAAAGCCTTCGTAAGTCTGCGTGTCATCGTACGTTCATCGTAAATAAATCGTAGGTTTTACAGCCGTTTCCGCAAATATGAATTAAACCACATCTAAGATGGCTTTATTCTCGATCAAGATGCCGCAAATGTTAGAAGACGAAGAAGAATCTTCAATATTAGAACCCATAGCCAGAAATTAGTAGTACTTTTGCTAATTAATATTCATAATATGTAAATGAGAATTGTACCACGTGATAATAGTTTGAACTGGACTGGCTTGATATCATTAAAATCTTTAAAACACGGATATTATAAGTTGCCCGTCACACAGTCCTTGTTTATAATCACTCTGATATTTCCGTAAAGTTGTCAGGCGGTCAAAATCAAAACAATGAACGCGAATTTAGTGAATTTTTCGTGTTTTCGTGAGTTTATTCTTCTTGAAATAGAGGCATTTTAACTTTACGTGGGAACCTAGAGTTCAACGACTACACACATACAAGGTTTGGGCTTGCTTATTCCTTGGACATTCAAGTTTCAAGTTTCACCCCGGCAACCCGCTGTATTTCTAATGACCTTGTTAGCCAATTTTCAACACGAAGTTTGCAAATTTGATGTTTCAGCCATTTTAGTCTGTATTTTATACTGCAATGTTAAAAGCCTCTCGCTTCGATTTTTAAAATAGCTCAGGAACCTTGATTTTTGCAACGCCAGTCATTATATTTCGTTTAAATGGTGTATATTGTTGTGTATATTTATTTTCTGCCCCGGCAACCTGTCTATCACTTAAATCAAAGTTAAAACAGACATTTTTTCTAAATTCCCTATCATTTCAATATAATTCCGTGACCCGTATCCGATTTCTTTAGTATAATATTCAAATAAGCAAAGTGGCGTTGATTTCTGTATATGCACACTTTCTTCGTTTGATCATTTTGAAAATGAAATGGATATTATATCCAGATACAGACTGGATAGGGTAATAAAATTGAGAATGGAAATGGGGAATGTGTCAAAGAGACAACAACCCGACCATAGAACAGACAACAGCAGAAGGTCACCAACAGGTCTTCAATGCAGCGAGAAATTCCCGCACCCGGATTCCTTTAAGACACAGTATCAATGAAATAACATTGGCAATAGAACCCGATATAAAACATGATACAAATAGGTACATGCACTTACTCCTGAAACGCAGGTTTTGTTAGCTTTGCGCTACTCACTGGTTCTCTGATAAAGCGCCCATTTTATGACGCTGATTTGTCCCACCGTAACAAAGCAAAACTAACGATTTCGAGTTATATATACCCGTAGCTTGTTATACTGAGATTTTTATATTTCTTTATTATCTATATTTTTAATTTTTATAAAGTTTAGTACATATTGCACAACGATAGTGATCGTACCGGCCATCCTAATGTTTTCTTCGTAAACCTGTAATTCCCGTTAACGGATTGAAGATCATAGAAGACCAAGCAAGACTAAATATTTAGCACAACATAGAGTGTGATATCTGTTAAATTTGATTATAAGGTTACCATAAATAATTTTGTTAAATAGTCATTTTTTCCAAATCATATCAGACTTGAAAACTAAACAAAGTTGAAAACTGCAGAGATTTGTTAATTAAAGCATGTCACATAGTAATCTCCGTGGATTGGTATACCCTAAACAAACACCTATTTTGAAAATAAAATCTTCTACTTCTACTTCTACCAATACGCGGCCACCATCAATAAGTTGATTATTTTGCCACTTTTTGGATGCGCATTTAAAATTTAGACAAAAAAAATAAATAAATATTGAATTGATTTGAATTTGTGCTATACATCATATATACAGTGAATTTAAAAACATCTTGGCGTTGATCTAGTTCATCTCATGCAGGTAAGTCTTGAAGCATTCAAGACTACCTGTATTGGTGGCCGAGTATGTGGTAGGGCATTCCAGTCTCGTATCGTCCTTGGGTAAAAATATTCCTTCCACACTTCGGTCCTACAAGATGGTACTTGGTATCCATTTGTGTTGAGGTTTCTGGATAGCCTATCTGGTGGAATGAGAGTATTACTGGTGTTAGACTGGTACCCGGCCGTTATTGAAATTCTTGACAATACTTAATATTTGTATATTCCGAAGGCATACTGGATATTTTACGGAGGGAACCAACCTATACTGGTGTCAACTTTCACCATCCCGTTGGCAAGTTTATACATCATTGTAAGCCTTGGTGTTCTCCTACGGTCTTCGAGGGTTTTCCATTCTAGTTTGTTAAGCATGTCACTAACAGATGATGTGTTATGATATCTGTCAGTGACATATCTGGCTGCTCTCCTCTGTACCATTTCCAGTCGGTTTTTGTTGTTTTGTTGATAAGGATCCCAGACTGTACATGCTTATTCTAGAGTCGGTATTACAAGTGACTTGTATGCAGTTACTTTTATTGTGTTGTTATTGATGTTCAAGTTACGTTTGAGGAAGCCTATGGTCTTGTTTGCCTTGACACATATGTTTTTAATGTGTTCATTCCATTTTAAGTTGGAGCTGATGGTGCAGCCAAGGTACTTTGCAGAATTTAGAGATTCGAGGGTGTGGCCATGCAGTACATATTCTTTTATAATAGGCTTACGTTTTCTTAATTTACTGCATCAAACCGTTTTCCCTTCTTGAATATTGGGCTTACGTTAGCCAGGCTTTTTCCATATGTCCGGTAAATCACCTGTTTCATAGGATCGCCTGAAGATGGTTGTTAGGATTGGTGCAATGTCTATGGCTAATTCCTTCAGCACCCTTGCTGTAATGGTGTCTGGACCCGCATCTTTAAATGGGTTAAGGTTGGATAATAGTTTTGCTATTCCGTTTTCTGTTATGTTCATGTCTTGAAGTGTAGGGTAGTTGTTGTTGGTCATGTCACAACGGCTTTTGAATTCTATTTCTGTGAAGTTGGTTTTTTCAGAAAAAGCTGATTGGAACTGCTTATTTAGTATGTTAGCCTTTTCAACTGAGTCAGGATGGAGTAGTCCATTGTTCCTAAATGGTGGTATTTGGTTTTCGTCTGATCTTTTGTGCTTGATGAATGTCCAGAAACGTTTCATGCAGTTTGGCTTGTCTTCTTTGGGATCAGGTGTTATTATGTCCTCTATATATTTCCAATATGCTCGTCTTTTTTCTCTCTGTACCAGTCATTTAAGTTCTTTATATTTAGTGTTATGCTTAGCATCAGCTGATTTTTTCTTTTTCTTGTAATGTTTGTCTCTTTCCCGTATTAGGCGTTTGATGTCTGCCGTAATCCAAGGGTTACCGCCTTTTGTTCTAGCTGTTTTTTGCGGTATGTTGGCATTTATAGTATTTTCAAGTTTGCCTTGAAAATAGTCCCACATTTCTTGTGTACTACATTCATGATGGTTCATCTTGGTAATTTCAGTATTTATCAATTTGAGATCTTCTCTGATGTTTCCCCACTTTGCTTTTTTTATATAAGGATATTTTCCTTGGCTTTTGAGTTTGTTTAGATGGTATGGTACCGGTATTTAACTCTGCAAAGACAATGTCATGGTCTGATATGCTAGGTATTGTTTCGACTCTGTTGAAGCAGTTTGGGTAGTTTGTTATTATGAGATCCAGTGTGTTTGATTCTCTTGTTGGTTCCTCTACCATTTGTTGTAAGCCATGAACGTCTAGGATGTCAGTGAACTTATGGTGTATGCCTTGGTATGTTGTGTATTGTGCTTCAGTGATTTGGTTTTCCAGTCCCAGCCTGGTAGGTTGAAATCACCAGCTATGATGATTAAAACATTTTTTATGTTGTTCGCTCTGGTTAGGCTCTTCTCAAGTTATAAGTACCCATACTCGTTGGACGTCAAAATTTTACGGGAACCTGTGTGATGTCCAGTATTGGCGGACAAATAGCGATAAGGTGTATTACGACGTCGGATGAGAGGGCATGGTATATATTGTCCGTTACATTTATTAACAACACCTTGTAAAAATACTCTTTTCGAAAATAAAAACTGTTAGATAGAACAAACAAAACTATCCGTCACAATGATATATGAGGGTCTGGATTAGGGGGGAAAGGGGGGTAGGTATTCAGTAAGAAATATGCTTATTCTGTAAATTCTGGTGTTCAGACCGTGCATATGAAAATTTCCTTTTGTATCATGTTTTGACATGATAAGATCTGTTTGTCTGTATCAACGACATAGAAATATTTAAATCTACATTTTAAATTGATACAAAAAATCAAAATTCTCTGATTTATAGATTTTCATTAATGGAGTCTAAAATATATCCATAATAAATGCACTGTATCAAATGCATATATGAGAACAACTACTTATAAACTGCTACGCGTCGCATACTATGTATAGAGACATGCATCATAAATCTTAGTTAAAAGACAAATAAAAAAAAAGGGAATTCTAAAAGCTTTCTTTGACAAATTTTATACTAACTTCATTTTAACAAGTTTAAATTACATTTTCTAAAATAGAGCTAAGAACTGTTTGTAATGTTGTAAATTTAATTCGTTTGAAATTTTTATTCAAATACGCTGTTGAAGATTACTAAGCGCCAATAGAATACAATAATTTTGTATTTTATAAATTAGTGTCTTCGATAATGAAAAATTCGTCATAGAACAGTCTCATTATCATGTCGGTATTCGAAATGACTCGTTTCATTGTTATTACAAAAAATAGGTCATAATAACATGACAGAGTTGTTTTTGCTTAATTCAGAATGTTCTAGATAAATATACAAAAAGCAAAGTTTAGACAATGTACCCTCATAT